TTATGGCATATTGTAACGCTGGGTTGTGTTGAGCAAGCGAGCCGTTGGCATTTAGAAAGCACTGAGGGCAGGCATCAGGTGAGCAAGCTAGTGAAACGTTGCACCCGCAAAAGTCACTCAACTAATATTTATGTTTTAATATTTAAATAAAACTATTTATGTTATAGTTTTATTAAACTGTCGTTTTTATGTCTGAGATGGTCTATTTAAGTGTAGATCACAATTCAAACACATATGAGTGCTTCATTAACATTCATGCAATTACCAATTTATGTTACACATTTTTACTACTGTTGGTTTAAATATTACAGCAGTAATTGGCTAGCGCTAATTCTATCAGTGAGAGTGAGTTGTTCACTATTAAGGTGGAGATCAAAATTAGAGAACAACCTACAATTTCCTAAATTTTGAGGTCACTGCTTAGTCCTATTTGAAGTTATCCTAACAGGAGTAAAAGCAACATTTTTTAAGCATATTTCATGAGTTACATATATTCTGAAGCACAGTGTAAAAAACTTAAATGATATATTTGAAAAAGAACTCTGATCAAAATTAGAGAACACTTTCAGATACCTCCAAGTTATTGGTGTTAATCTGGCACCTGGTGCTAATTTCCTTAATTATATGACAAACCCTATTTAACGGGCAGCCTAAATTTCCAGTGTTCACTGACATTACAAGATGGTGGGCTGTTCTAAAGTGACTGGAACCCTTCGACAGGAGGGTCATTCCACGAAATCGGTGCCTTGTCCACTTGGAAAAATTTAAAAAATATATGTTGAATCAACATTTTTAAATATCCATGAAATGAAGACACCTTAAAAAGACAAAAAATTGTATTGTGCCATCTCAGGCTATGTAATTTATTATTTTATGACTATTTATCTACCTCATGTTTTGGTATTTTTGTCAATCCTGTTACCGACACAAGCGTTGCTAGATACTATAGTTTAATTAGAACTATGTGATAGTTTGCACATGAGCAGCATTTTAGTCCCTCTTTTTACTGGGATTGTTTTAAATTTGGGATTTAAAAAATATATATTTTTATATTTGTCATTCAGATGACCAAGAACATCCTAATTTTGGAGGGTGACCACATGTCAATTAAGAAAAATATATATATATTTTTTTTACAAGAAAGATATTTAAAAAAGGGCTTTGTCCAAAAGTTACAATGGAAAATCCTGGAAGGCTGTATCAAATATATATATATATTTTTGTAATTTTTATTAAATCAATGACAGTAACAGGATTGACGTCATAGTAACAGGATTGACCAGAGTAACAGGGATGACAGGACACACATTCTTCAGCACACTGCACATATTTGTTTACGTAATACTGTACAGTTTTACACTTTTAAATTGCATTATATTATTTTGCACTTACTTGGCATAGTTGTATGACAATAATAAACAGTCAATTTTTCAGTTTAAGTCAATTCATTGATGATTGTTGAATTAGCACATTACATTTCTAAGAGATCTAATGTTTTAAGGGTATTGTAATTAGATAATGTGTCCATCTGTTTGTCTGTGTCCCCTCACAGAACTTCAAATATACTGATCTGGTTCAATTATTAGGCGAGGAAGATGATCAGATCTTGGTCTTTCTGTGATCATCTGAAACCAGACCAAGATCTTGACTTTCATTGCAACATTGCAAGACTGGGGTGAAGGTCTGGAGTCACCTTGCTGCTCTTGTTTGCTAATTTGATCAGAGTTATTTTTCAAATATCTCATTGAAGTTGTTTACACTGTGCTTCAGAATACAATTAATTTATGAAATATGCTTAATAAACTGCCCTTACTCCTGTTAGCATGACTTCAAATAGGACTAAGCAGTGACCCTGACATTTTCTGTTGTTCTCTAATTTTGATCTCCACTGTATATTTAACAAAATATACAAATATTAAATATGATATATATTACAAATATACCAATATAAAAACATGTAATAATAAGCATATGTGACAGATTCTCCAGAGCAAAAAACAAAACAAAAACAAAAACATAATGTTCCTAAAATCATATTTTACTGGGCATCTCTTATTGAGTTAATAGGAAAGAAGTCTGGTTGTTACCTCACAAGTACAGCATTCCCAATAAGATAAAAGTAGTTCATTTCAAGAACCTTCATAACATATACGCTGTGAATGATACAGTGACAAAATATATAGATGTTGACAGTTCGTGCTCGTTTTGTGGGATTGAGGATGAAACATTGATTCATTTATTTTTCAATGTGTAAAAACTCTGATTCTTCAGTCAGCTCCTTTCAGTTAAAAGATATAATTTGTTACCATAAAGGTGAAACTAGTACATCAGTGAATTACGTTTTATTTAATTTTGTTTGGGAATTTTTCGTCCATAAGCAAAAAATGTCCAATTTGCAGCCTTGTTTTATACATTTCTTAATTTAAATTAATGCATTTCTTAAATCTCTTCAGTTGATTAAAAACAAGAAAAGTGACTTACACCAAAACTCTTTAGTCATCTTTAGTCGCATACAAATGCAGTGAACATCATATGATTTTCTGTAATGTACATTCTCATGTAATTTCACCTTTTAAATGAAAATATTTTTATTCTGACATTATGCTTTTTAATTTTGTAATAGAAATATTAAATAAGCATCATATTGTGTGCTCTTTAATTCTGTACATATGATCACTCTACATTCAGTTTGCAGCTATAACAAACAAATTTGAAAATCTCAAGTACAAAAAAAAAAAGCATATATACATTATTTATTATACATTTCTTAATTTAAATTAATGCATTTCTTAAATCTCTTCAGTTGATTAAAAACAAGAAAAGTGACTTACACCAAAACTCTTTAGTCATCTTTAGTCGCATACAAATGCAGTGAACAT